CGCTTGCGGCCAGTTGGACGTTCTGGCGATTTGGATCAACGACTACGTGAACCAGTTTGGCGACGAAAAGGAAGGTGCTCCCTTTAGAAGAATCGGGACGATCGTGCAACATCACCTGAGAATATTAGAGTAAGATCATTACGTCGATTGAGATGTCTCGAGCATGGTTGTATATAAATAATTACAGTTGGTCGGTATTAATTACAGTTTTATAGCACGTATAGAAGAAATAATGAGCTGGGTATGCATGACGGAGTTGTTTAGATGCATATTGGCCATATGCATGGTTGGATATTTTATTATTATGGTACCTAACACGAGATGTATACTGTACCTATTTGTCGTATGGCTCATGTTTTTTAGACTAACATTGAACAACTCGATGAAGCTATTTTTGTGCATGTCTTTCGTTCAGAACGAAATTTTGATCGTTTTGTGGGACGATTGAAATTCCAGTAAAATTAATTTCTCAGAAAAATGTAAGATATGAAGAGAAACAAATATCTGATTGCTATAAGAAAAAGAACTCTTGACCAAAATTTTTAAACAATTATTTTTACGCATTCTCTACGTCATAAATATAAAAATAGCTTCATGTCCCAGTACTCGTAAGCATTCATATTTGAATCATTAACTTTAATGCAAATTTACATTTTTGTAAGCAAAATTAGTGAGAAATTTGTTCTTTAAATATCCCAACATATATTTTACGTTGAATATTTTATATATTTTTGCATATTTGGATATTTATTTATTTCTAGGAGTGGTCCGACCACGATGTTCGAAATCTCGCTACCTATTTTATAGTATTCATGTCTGTGACCTTCAACACATTTGTATTGTGTTATATCGGTGAGCTGCTAACAGAACAGGTATCAGAGACTCCATATCGCGAAGATGTCTATCAATCAACACCGGGAAATCCAGGATTAATCGAATGAGTTGTTCACAGTGTATGAAAGTCGGTGAGATAATTTATATGACAAACTGGTACCGTTTACCCGTAAGAAAAATGCTCGACTTGGTTCTGATCATCGCACGATCGAGTGTGGTCATTGAAATGACTGCCGGGAAAATAATTCAGATGTCTATTCACACGTTTGGTGATGTAAGTCGCATTATTGCCTACATCTAAGAATGTTCACCTCATTTGGAAAAGTCACGAAACTTTGTTCCAGGTGATGAGAATGGCCTTCGCGTACCTGAATGTGTTGTTGCAAGTAGCGTGATTAACCAGCACTTAACGAATTTCTTACTTGTATAGTTTTGTAGGTGAAGTTGTAGAATGTGAAATACAAACAGCTGTAACGCGACTTATGATTATTCTGTCAACGTCTACGTTCATCGCGACATTTCGTTCCCTCGCCGTTATATTTTTCCCCGTCATTCGACGATTATTCGTCAGGTCCGAGAGGTGGGTGTGCACGCTAACCACCGCACCAACTGTCAGCTCTGCACACGTAACAATTGCAACACTCAGGCACACAAACGTAAAGGGGAATATAACTGATTGCATGCACATGTGCACGGTAGCAACCAATAATTTCCAAGTTTACTACTTAGTTTCGTATTAATCAGAAACAGAATTCTATCGTCTAGACGAAACGATCGATAAACGACTATCTAAAAAAAAAACTTGCGCAAGCTTTTCTGTGCAAACTCTCGAAAGTGAAACTACAACTTCACTTCACGATGGCAACCCAACCAATGAGTATAGAAGCGAATAGTGTAAGTAATACCTTCAGTGATTACAGTATCCAAATGAATCGCTGGTCTCTAAAACCGATCGGTGCTTGGCCATATTTCTCCACAACCACAATGCTTGAAAAGATCGCCTCCGTAATTCTGATTGTCTTTTGCTACGCCATTTTACTGTTCAGCATAATCCCCTGTGTGGCT